TATGTATATGAGTACGCGCGTATCGTTTATTATAAAGTACCTAGGTTTTTGTATGATTATATCATCTTGATCACTCTTACGTGTATACTGCCTTTTAACTTTCTTGTTACTGTCTTCTGTATAAATATGTATTGTTGTTAAATCATGCAAACCTCGTTTGTTTAAAGTTCTTTATCGACAACAAACTGACGTTTGCAACGTCCTCTTTTCTGTTCATCAAAGTAAATAAAAGAGTCGAGTTTACAATGTGAGTGTTCGACCTCCTCTTTCACACTTAAAAGCTAAATCCTAAAGCTGCACTCTTATCATTTATCTATGTATATTGTACAAATAACTAGCATTTGACGCGACTGTTTGCTAGCAATTACTTGCTAAACCGTTTACATTCGTGACATTGTGTATAAAACTCTATTGGAGTATATGCTTACACTGGTAATTCTTACTTTTCCTCCTGTTTAATGCATTTTTAATAATAGTAATTATCACTTTTCGCTCTCTAGGCCACACAGTTTGGGTGTCAAAATTTGTTAACGACGTTCGCACGCGACTAAAGCATTTGGAGTGTTTGCAGAATCGGGCAGGACCCGAGAGGCCAGCTGGGTTCATCCTCACTAGACCATGTTTGTCTGTCCGTCCTCATAAGCAAAGTATCATAAGCTTCTGTGCCGGACGCGGTATATCCGTGCCCAATGTAAGACCAGTCGGCTTCTTAAGATACACAAATAAAAAACTAAGAAGGGAAAGAAAAAATAATGGAAAAAAGGAAGCTTCCCTCGTGTTTTCCTTTGCATTTCTTCGTAAGTCTATTTTTCAGTTGAATTTTTGTCACTCTTATTCTTTTTTTCTTTTTTTCCCTTTTTTTGTCTTTTTTTCCTTTAAAGAAGCTGCTCATATATTTTTAAAGCCTCTTTTTCTTATAAACAAACAAAGAAATTCTCGGACGACGAGTTACTTTGTTAAGTTTTGTCTTTTATATGTTTCGTTTTTTTCTTAAGCTTTTTAATTGAAGCAGTGTACTTTTACTAATGACCATAGCTTTTTTTTCAACACGTTTACACAGTAATGCTATATTTGTAGTGCTTTCATCTCAAGGTGTTCCTCATAGCCAACAAAACGACGAAATGCAAAGCAACACAGCAGGGAAGGGCTTCAAATTTCCTACTGCCCGTTCTTATTTCCCTCCTTTTTTTCTTCTTTTCATTAAACAGTACGATAGGTTTTGCGGTATCGTCATGAACTTTGTATATACAGTATATATAATCACCTAATATATATTTTGACGGTACCGCTATCGCGACGACAATACGTATATTCGACTGTCGTCGTAGTTTATTTTACTTTTATTCGTTTCAGTGAATAGCAACTGGACTCTGCTGGACGCATACTCCAACCATAGGACTGTCTTCTCTTTCCGGATCTCTCTGTTTACCGGTTGAGACTGTCGACGGTTGTCTGACTATTCCGTGCGCATCAGTCGTCGAATAACCGTAATTGTAAAAGTTCTGCTGCTGAATCATTGGTGAGGTCATCATCGCAGGCAGATGGGGTATACCAGGGAGAATTAGGCTATTATACGATCCAAGAGAGCTTTGTATCAGGGAACTGTCTACAGATTGCATGGACATCGCCCCGGATGCAGACACCCCAGTGGCCGAAGTTGACGGATAGTTTGTTGTTACGACGCGTCGATTCCCCAAATGACGAGGCGATGACTCGCACTCCATTGACTGATAGCCACCAGGGAGACTTGATATTTGCATCGGATTGCCACTGTTGTTGCTTCCCTGTCCTAACACGGTTGCCAGTCCTGAGACATTAAAAAAACACAATTTTAGACGGATAAACAATGTAGAGTCATTTTCACACTAATGCAAAGATCATCCAATGAATTACTAGCTCTTACGATAGAACGTCACTATGAGAAAGTTAAAACAAATAAAAAAGATTTCAAAATACTACGGGGATACATTCCAGGCACTGAAATTAACGTTTCGTTTTCCTTTTGTTTTGTCAACAGTTGACCTAGATTTTATTAATATTTAAATATACTGACTGATCAATTATCGATACCTAAGCAATAACTAACTGTTCATCTTTGCGTAGGATAAAAAGAGTAAATAACAATGTTATGTACATAAGTTATAATTTTGTTATTCTAATATTTGATAAATTATATAATATACTTTATCGAAACCATGATTCATGCATAAAAAATTGTTATATTAGAAAGACGATTTCCAAGAGTTGCTTTAAGAGTATCATTTATAAATTAGTTGTTTTGCATAATTTCTGTTTTATATAAAGTATTGTGTAAATATATAATTAATTGGCTAACAAATAACCACTTATTAGAAGTATTAAAATAAATTTGGTAAACTTATACGATGGATGTAAAACCAAAACAAAATATATCTTAGCATTGTGAAATAATTATTGGTTTTGATACCTAAACATTAATGACTAAGCAAAAAATATAAATTTTAAACCAGACTAACATATATTCTGGTTTTAAAACATCTACATACCAAAGTTTATTAAAGTACTGTTATAAATATTTTTTTATAAACCCTATATCTCTCATAAATAAATAATTTATATAATTTTGTAAAATTATTTTTGTAAACAATATCGGTCTCGCAATTAAATGCTTAATTATGCTAAAATTACATAAATATTTTTGAATATTAAAATATTGCATTAGTGATTTATTTAAATGCAAATGTTTTTCTTATTATATTTTACATAAAAAATAATTTTAATATTAATCATAAAAATATGCCTAATCTTAAAACATTAATATTTTATTCGATATATTTCACTTTCTATTACACAAATTATTAAATAAGTTAAATTAAAAGTGATTAAATTTTGCACCTATACATTTATTGAGTATAATCAATTGAAAGATAATACATTTTACCCTTTAAAATCGTCTTATTCTATATTCTAGCATTTCTTATTATTTAAATATCTACTTTTTGGAGCACCTTGTATATGCGTATAAAACTACAATTAGTTTTATAATATTATATATAACTCGTTTGAATGAACATTTAGGTACTCGCTCTGAGGTAAAAAATATGCAAGACAGAAAGAAGAAATCATTCCAAAAAACTGGAACGTAAAGTGATGGATGTGCAGATTGTAAGTCGATGGAATGTTTACTGGAACGGCGAAATTGAATGTTTCGCATATTATGCGATGAAGATGCACTCCGGAACGTGCTATATGCAAGCGGTTAAAGCATGCATGAAATAAATTACAAGACAATGAAGTAGTCGCTCTACAGAATAAAAACTTAATACAGATATGCAATTCAATTACTTTTAAGAAGAATATGTTCTCTGAAAATGAAGTAACTAACAAAAGACATATATGTAATAAAATATACATCATATATATATCATTAATATTTATTATATTTCTATGTCTTAGAATATTCATATAAGTATTACAAAGAACATATTCCCATAATGCTATTTGATATCCATTGCTTTTAAATTCTAATGTATTTTGTATTGACAAAGATATTTTTAGGTAATTGGGACAATAATCTTATAATAAATGTAAAATTTGTAAGAGTATACAATATCGGAGTATAGAGACACGGGCAATCAATATGAATCCGTGTCTCATTATAAAAAAAAATCAGAAGTGCGAGTTCTTTTATTCAAGCAAGCAAGGCTTCATATGTTACATCCGAGGTCAGGATATGATTATCAGGGACATTGTTAGTCTTTTAGCTTGTAGGATTGTTTGTTAGACAGAACTTACTTATGTTAGTAAGTAAGATTAGGGTTGGGGCCTAGGACAGGTCGTCGCCGCCCCGCGGATACGACAGTCATCGAGCCACGTACTGTCCCCCCATCATATCTACGGGCAACAACAAGTATTGTTTAGTTTGCGCAGAAAATAAAAGATACCAGAAAAATATATATTTTACATTGATGTTCTCTAATAGTTTGTTATGATTTATACCTTTATCAATATATAAGTAATAAAATAATCTTTATACTTAATATTGTATGGTAGAGACAATTTTTAATAAATATAAATAATTATACTTTACAAATGCCAATTTTTTGTCTAATTTGTGTATAATTTTTCTTTATTATAAAATAATTATATAAAACAAATGTCTTATTTTCTGCACAAATTAAAACCTGCCTAAATCTTCAATACAATGGAGCAATTCCTTAAAAAGTTCAACACAAGTCACTGTATTGCTCTAATTCGTTAACTTTTACGTATAATATTTCTGAATCATCACAAAAGCTTAAATTCGATTGGATGTTAAATCACAATATACTGAATTATAAAACATGTATGTTGCCTCAATTAGATTATGTATATGATATATAAAAAATACAGTTTCGTTATATAAGACAAAAATTGCTATACATCACGTGAAAAGCAAGTGAAAACAATCATTGACATTTCTGAAATTCATTTAGCTTTTTTAATAACAAGATTACACAGATTTATTTTTTTTTCATCTGTTGAAATAATTAAATTAAATTAATAATCAAATTTACACATTTAAAATACAGTCATGTGAGATTGGTAACTGTGTACTTATTAAAATTGTGTATTTGTTAAGCGATACACAGCGTAACTTTTAAGAATTTATATCCCTTTGCAGGGTTTGTTTGCATAATCAATATAATTATTATACATCTTACATTACAAAGAATATGTGCACTCTTTAATAAACATTATTTTAGAAATGGTAAATATCAGATTACTTAAAATCCATATAAAAGATTAAATTATCTATCTAATATTTCTTGTATCATAATAATTAATCTGTTAAAATACTAAATAGTATATTTATTACATAAGTTGTTTTACCAAAAATAATAAACCACTGCAGCATAATTTAACGAGTGTAGACGCATAAAAATCTTACTGAAAGTAGAATTATCGTATTATATACAAATTGTTTAGACTATGAATTAAAACCAATGATAATAGGTAGAAAACCCCAGATTTAAGGAAAACATTTTTATTGTCACGCGTGTAAAACGATCCAGTAAGCCAAAAATGATGCTTTATGTATTATGAAGTCTTTGGTAGCTTACCATGATCTTGGCTCATCAATACTACTGCCGGGCTCGTGTTAGCACTGTTGACAGCAGCAATATTCGTGTTGGTCCCCTCGTCGGCTGTACGCTTAAAGAAATTGTGCTGAAGTGCATAATACGGTGTCACTCTTGTTTTCGGATCAAAGTCCAGCATTCGCAGGATCAAGTCTTTGAATTTGAGGTAATCGGAAACTGAATGACCAGGTTCACCTATCCTTCTACCACCAGGGCCTCCGCTTTCGACACCTAAGATATCATGTAAGCGTCTTGTGCCAAGAGGTTTGTACTTTTTATCCTTTATCTTTTTCAGCACATACGAGCCATCCGTGGGGACTTTGTCAAAGTATCTCCGCACTTTGTGCCCTTGGTCCAATATATGTTTCGGTGGCATTCCTAGTACTTCTACGATTTTATTCACTTGATCGACCTGTGAAATTGGAAAATAAATAATAATTTACAATCCAACATAATTATATAACATTTAATTACATGATAAAATTTTCACATAAACAAGAATTTTGTAGTGATGCAATGAAAATTAATTAATGTATTCGTTAATTAAAGTTTCAAAACATTGTACACGAGAATACAAGCTTGTAAGTACAAAACAGCATTTGTTACCTCATTGGACCCACTGAATAGAGGTTCTCCCGTATGCATTTCAACTAAAATACATCCTAGACTCCAAATGTCTATCGCAAGGTCATAAGGTATTCCTAATAAGACTTCGGGAGATCGGTAAAACCTAGATTGAATATACTGGTATATCTGTAAACGAAGTCAGTACCGATTAGTTCCTAAACATTATCAAATTATATGTTACCATATACCTACCCTTTGTCCAAGTTGACACGAACTACCAAAATCCACTATTTTTATCGCACTTCGTTTGGGATTGCACAAAAGTATGTTTTCGGGTTTCAGATCACAGTGAATGATGTTCAATTCCGGTGTAGACAGGAACAAAAGGGCAGTACACAGTTGCTGTGCAAACTTCCTTGTTAAGTTCAACGACACGCCTCGAAAATTCGTATTTCTAAGTAGATCATATAGATTATACGATAACAGTTCGAATACCAGACATAAATGATTTCGCCACATAAAATGACTCTTTAGCTTAACTGTAATAAAAAGATTTAAATTATATAATTTTACATTTTACATTTAAATTTTAAATTTTACATTTTTATAATAAATCAAGATCGACATTTTAATGATTTTACTCGAGTAATATAAAATGTATTATAGCAAACAGATCTTTACCATAGTAGTAAGTATTAAGGACGAGTTTCGAAAATATTAAAATTAGGTTTAGCTCTACTTTTGTAAAATATAATAACCAACCTATATAATATTTGTTGTCGGTATCCGCCCTGTTCATCATTTCCAATAGCCTCACTTCGATTTGCGCTTGATTTAGAAAAGGTTTTTTGTTCTTGATAATTTTTATTGCCACTTGCGTTTGTTCTTCGTGATCAAACGCTTTTACTACTTGGCCAAAACTGCCTTTACCTATAAAATACATATATTTCATGTATTAAATTATATCTAATGTAACTTACTATCTATTAAAAGACACGCAATTAATAATTGGGTTAATCTTTAGATTTAACTCAATATTTAATCATTTATATATAAAGTGCTTCTAAAGAATACAATTTTCTTAAAGGATGTAGTATTGAAGAAAGAAACATATGTTACCAATGTGATATAAAAAACGCATATGTAATGAAATAAATGTTTAAGAAATAATTAAAAATATTACTAGAAATAGTCAAAACATTTACAATACGATTAACTTATCTATCTTAATGAAACAATCACTTTATCTAGCATATATTTCAAAATTAAATGAAATATTTAAATGATTTTTGTAAAATGACCTTTAAATGAATGAAAATACTCATATGCAATCATACAGAGAGTCTTCTACAACATGTATCTGATTAGCTACATGCATTTGTTACTATTTTCATAGAACATCTTCTAGTTCAGTCTTTTCTCTCTTCCATACTACTTAAAAAAATTATCTTTTTCAGAGACACTTTGTATGTTACTATATTTAAGATATTGTGCCTTTGTAGTATTTCAACGTTTATTATTGCATAATACATAATTAAATTTATTAAATGAAACAGCATAATAACGGATTGCTTGTTACAAACGACTCGTGTTTAATAAAAATATCGTATAGCTAAACATTTTTATCATATACAGTTTTTTACCTATTAGCGAATCGATCTCATAACGATCGAGGAACTTTTCCCCATTCTTGATAATATAATCATGATTATCGTCATCCCAGCCATCGTTGTAGAATTTTCTTTCTTTTTTATGGGAACCATCTTCTCCTTGCATCTGTTGCGCCCTCCTCTTCTTCTTAGCATAATAAACCTACGAAAAAACGAATAAATTAATAAAGCAGAAAATTACCCATCAAAGCTTGTTAAACATTACATTAGACAATTTAAACAAACAAATATTTTGTAACAATGCGATTAATAAACATAATTAAAATTTATATAAATATCAATAATCTTCATATGAATTTGAACATTATTCTCTTCAACTTTTTTGCTACTTTTTACTACTCTTCCACATTTATACAGTAATTAATGTACAACTTCTTCTAAAGATGAAATAAATCAAGTACAGAATAAAGAGAAAAGGGAAGATGTGACAGAAACAAAAGTAAAGGAATTAATCAAATGCAAGCAGAAACAAAATGAGGATAAAGTAATTAATAAGAGAAATTCTATTATGCAAAGAGAATAAATAAAAGATAAAATTAATAATGATTCATTGAACGAATATTACCTTAAAACGAATTTCAAGATCCAAGTAAAATACAGTATATTATTTACAATTTTCTACACTTTTTATTTATTAATTCACATAACAAATTTCATTTAACAATATTTTCTATCATGGCAGTATTTCGTGGAAACCAAGTAATTCGTGTAAAATAAAAAGAAACTAATAGTTGCGTAAAGTTTGTGAAAAAAACAATATTTCATCATTCAATAGATTATCGACTAACATTAACACGAAAAGTTTTAAACTAAATTTAAAAAAGGATAAAGAAGAATTCCCAATTCAAATAATTTAGAGGTCTTTGTGTCTTTCGTAATAGCATGAGAAAAATTTAAAAATTGACACAAAGTACCATAATTTCATTTTAAGGATACAACTCCAACAATGATTTGTTACTATAATATTTCCTATCCATCAAAACTGTATAGTTGATTTCTGGCTCGCAATTTTTATACTATTCTGTTCAATGACTTGTAATAAAAATGATATAACTGTCGTCCAACACATACATACCATTTAAAACGTAAATAATACAAATATTACATTGTACTTGTAATAACACGTACACGTACACGCGTACAACTTAAAACTGTTTTACTAAATGTTTACCGAACATTTCATTTGTTAATTTATATATAAATAAATAAACAGGTGTAGCGTTACAAAAACAGGACGAGGAATATACTATAGGTTGCTAAAGGAGCCATTAATTATGTTTTTATGTTTCAACAAAAGAATGGACAGCTAGGGCAGAAAAGAAGGTGAATAAATAGGTAGGTGGGTAGGTATGTAGTTAAAGAAGTTACAAGCGTAGACGAAACAAAGCAGAGAAAGAGGTGGGAATAAGGTGAAAGATGGCTGGAGAAAAATGAGGAAGAGAAGGAGTATGATAAAGACACAGATTAGGATGCAAATACATTTGAATATCGATTATCCCATCTCTAAATATATCGAATAAATTTACTCTAAATAAATGACAATAAATATTAAATATACACATTTGAATATTCGTATACTTTTGTACAGAAATAACCAGAAGAAACTTATTTAACGCAACCAATTCCGATAAAAATTTAATTAAAATAGGTGTAACAACAATTATTAATTATCGAGCGTTGCTCTCAAACATTTATTTTATCTCTTCTTTCTCTCTGTCCAATTTCAATCTCGAATCATAACTCGTATAAAATTATTTCTATTTTGTGGATAATTCTACAGGTCGGAATAAGGAGAGACAAAGAAATACTAAAAAGACATTTGAAATTTAATTTCTTTTTTCCTTAAAAGTCGTCTGAAAAATTGACCAAGAGATTTCTGCAGATACACTGTAGAGTAACTCTAGAGAGGAGTATAGCCATCACTAAAAGACATTGGTAACTGATTAGCACCTGGTTCCCAGAAAATAAGGAAGAGAATTTTAATACCCAGTGTTACAAATAATTCTATCGTTCTTCGTTCAAAAAATTCCAGATTAAATATCAAATATATCAGTGGAATTACTCACTCTATCCCATGAGATCTTTAATGGGCAAGGATTAATGTCTCCACCAGCAAACAAGCTTTCACGCCATGTACAAGTTACAATAAATAATTCACATCCGAACGTGTCATAAATGTTCACAGAAAATTTATACAGCACTGCAAATATTCACAGAGAAGTCAACTCATACATCACAAGTATCCGCAAAAAAGATTCCGATAAAGGATATAAATGTCTTCAAGAAGATGCACGTGAGTCGTAAGAATCCGCAGAAAAGTTTATACATTGACGTTCACATAGAAGCTTATATTCAACATTTTTGACAAATATTTAAAATTAAAAAGGTATATTCGTATGGAGAATTGATAAATTTCGGATAATATACAAATATAAATTTATAACAAAAGTTTGTGAAAAATTTTGTCGTGCCACAAGTGTCCACGGAACGTCACACGTACTATAAGTCGCGCCGAGCTTATCGTGCGATCTGGTTAGGGAATACCGCCAAAAGCATGTTAAAGCGAAAGATGGAAGAGATCTGATCGCAGTGTCTAACGCAGAGACGATACTCATAAGAGACACGCTATCTCATCCAGATGTAACATGCCTGTGAGTTAACACGTCACGATCAATTATTGTTTGCGTGCATTGTTTTCTTAACAGCGTAATACGTGTGTGAATTCTTTCATGGACAACAGTTGCATGTGTAAAGTTCTCTACAAACATTTGTATTGCGTATGAATTTTTCTATAAACATTCGTTGGATGTGTAGGTTTCTCTACGAGTATTCGCTTGTGCGGATTTCTCTTTCTTAGATTCGCAAAGTGTATGAAGTTTCCTATGGACATTTATCGTGGACGTAACGTGGTATAGACTCATGCTCGAACGTATTCGAACATTTATATTTGCTGCTTTTAACGAGTGAAATATGTATGTTAAACTGCGTGTTTGAAATAATATAGGATATACAGCAAAAGTAGTAAAATTGGAAAATAATTGGATATACAGGGCGAAGATTACTTCGTTCTGGAAGATTACTTATAAAATATTTGTTATACGAAAAATGTTTTGAACGAGAGCTTTTTAATATCAATTGGGATATATAATGTAATATTGGATTTCGCTTTCTTTTCACAGATACGAAGGTCATATTCAATTTTTTAAATTGTATGTGTAATGCTTAACTGTGTTTGAAAATAACAAAGGAAACTAATTGTTATATTATAGGCTCCATTTGGTATGAAACAACTTTTATTTCCAATATTTTTTCAGGTAAAAACAATTCATAACAAAAAGTAGTTTTAATTGCTAGAGTTAAATAACTCACCCTATATATAGTATTTACAGTATGGTTATCACAAATATGCATTACCCATGGATCACGAATATAATTTATGAATAGAAAAATAAGAAATTTCGATATGTTGTTAATTCATTTTTACTAAGGGGATTTAAGCTTAAGGCGATTTTCCATTGAACACGCTGTTGCCCCCGCGGCTCGTATTTATATTAAATGTACAGTAAATGTCATATATATCATTGAATTATCTTCTAATTTTACTGACATAAACTTGGGACTTTCTCTTTGTTATGTATACTACATCTACTTTATCATTACTTAATATTACTATATTACTATATATACTCCAGTTTAATGTAAATATTTTGGTTATAAGTAGAGAAAATCTAAGCGTTCGAGTACTTTTGTCTACGACTGTATATCGATTCATCGTTGCATTAGTAGTCTGTCAAATTTTCTGTGACAATTTGCAATCTATGCACTTGTGAATTATTTATGCGCAGGCCTGTGCGCTGAAGGAGACGGAATCTTGGCTGCTTAAAAAAAGGGACAGGTGGCGTGTTAATTTGTTTGATTTACGTTTCTGCAATAAAATGCGATAGAATCGTCCGTGATACCGAATATCGATATTTGCTTTCTTACAGTTCTTGTGAAACAAATTGCTGGCCACTCGTCATCGTCTTTTGGCCACGGCTATATCATCGTCTCCTGACCTACCCTACAGAGGCCGATGTGCAAAGGCTTGCCAGGTGTTACGAATATTTTGACCAATTTTTCTCGAGTTCATAGCTCAAAAACGAAACTTCTGACGTAATTTTGTTGTTCTGACGTAACTTTGCCCTATAAAATAAATCTTAAAAAACTTTACTAGTTATCGAATTGTTATTATCTCTGCGTATATCGGTCAATTATAATACAAGTCACTTTATATTACCGAGTAATGCTATATTATGGTACATTATGAAGGGTAATAGTACATTACCCAGTAATATAGAGTAACTTATACTGTGGTTGACCAACATTAGCATGTATAATAATGTGTAGTCATTATGTTATATAAATTAGAATTCAAAGGGAAATTGAATTTTATGATAGGAATATATAATTTTAATACCGGTATGTATGTTACAAATGTTAGAATTTTAAATATCTGTACCTATGTCTTATAACTTACTCTATTTGCTTTTTTCTCAATTCTATACCACGATTTTCTAAACGATTAAAATTGCCAAAACACTTAAAATCCCTTTGAGGTTTTCAATCACATTAACAGTTATTTAACTCCTCCAACTCTTCTGTCGAATCATTCGATATTAATAATTACTTCGCTATGTAAGATAATACCAATTTTCAAGTGACATGAACTAGTTAGATAGATAGGCATCTGGTTAGATAGACGGACACCTCCGCTGATGGAATAGTTCTATCAGCGGAGGTTAAAATTAGAAGAGGGCACTGTAATTCGACCATTCTGAGAGTCTGACTGAGAGTCTCCCGAGCAAATGAACTCCAACGAAAAAGATGAGTATAATCGAAAAGACGAACGATTTGTAAAATAAAAAGCTTACCTCGTTGATGTACTTGTAAGTTTTGATGAGATCTACACTGAGTTTCCTAAGGGGTGCCGTAGCTGGATCACGAAACCTATGGGGTATCCTGGCTTGCATGGCGTGTATATCCGCGGGGGTTTCTTGCGGGACCCCACCGGTACCGCCACCGGTACCGGCACCCCCACATACTGTGGGTGGTAATGGCTCCTCAGCTACCAGACGACCGTAAAGGGGCGCGCCACCGCCTCCACCCGCACCCGCTCTACCGCTTACTGAAAATCAAACACCATCGAATTAGTACGGATTATTCCCACATCACCTTTATTCCATGTACATTTGATTACAGATTTACTTTTATTAATTTTTAATCGACATCTAATTCGTCCTAACAACCGTATCAATTTACTTAGCAGCTGACAAACATTACAAGGTCTATTTTCTTAACTGCTGGGTAATTTCGTGTCTTCGTGTTTTTAATCGAATTTTAATTCACCTGATCATAAATTCAGGCTAAATGATAGAATTAAAAGTGGATTAGGATGAGTGATCCTAAGTTGGAACTGGAATACGAACGAGAAACGGATCAAGTTTATTTCGGGTACAGTAGCTATCTATGGATGTACCTGAAGCATTGGGTATCGATCTTTGCATTAAAGTGCGATATGAAAATCTTGAAAATTTATGTAGGCTTCGGTATTGAGATACAGAGGTCCACTTAAAAGTAGTTTAGTCACGGTATACACAGAACGTATGTACGATGTTACGGTGCATGTGATTGAGAATCCACGCAACGAGGTCACGAAGACTGACATAGGTCGTGCGATAACCAGCACGCATTCCGCTTCATTCATGTTTCTTGATATAGACTGACTTTCACCTATATACAACCATTCTCTAAAACTGCCCCCAGAGAGTATTTGTAAATGTACACCACCTAGTCTTTCTCAAGTAGCTACAACCAGTCACAGTCTCTGTTGGATAAATGAGATATTCTAAGATATCTACCATGTAAAAAGTGCATCCTTGATTACATGATAATTTCTTCGGTTGCGCTTGTGAACAAATAGCAATGTCGAATGTGAAGGGAGAAGAAAAATAGGGTAATCTCAATTTCTCATTACGTATGAGAAATAGTGTACTAGATATTGGTATTATAGTATATTATAGTATTAGAATATGTGACATATAAAGATAAAATAGAGATTTAAGATAGAGATATTAATACCTCTTACGTCTGTAATTGCAATTAGTTATGTGTCTTCATAATTTATGTAACTTGTACTTTGTAATAAAGTATAATTTAAATTAAAATGTAGTTATAGTTAATATATAATGTCGTAGAAAATAATTTACGACTTAGTGTTATATTTTAATAATTGGTTTACAAAATGCAGTAATTCCATATCAACTTTAAATTTAAAGTTATTCTTTCGGAACAATTCTAAGGCTAAAAAAGATATTTGTGTAAGTATTATCATATATTGTAATATATTAAACAAAATATAAGAATTTATATGTTGTTTAATTCGTTTGAAAGATTTCTGAACTGCTTAATTAAGTTCTGATTATATAACATAATTCATACCAAGAGAGTTTTAAGTGCAAGTAAAAATACAGATTATATAATATAGTGATGAAACGCTCACTATATTGAATATATTTAATATTTTACCACATATTTCATTTATCATTTTATTTCATAAATATATAAATCTTATTAATTTCCAATTGTTTTATATCTTTATTAATAAATTTATATTTGATTATTTAGATTTTTGTAAATTCATATTTTGAACCTATTTGTATATATAATATATATATTTCTTGACTAATGAATTACTATTTCTTTGAAAATTTAAAAATACAATTAAATAAAATAATAAAATAAATATTAAATAATATAATAGAGAAAATAATAATTTTATATGTATTAAAAAAAATGAGTTGGAAATACAGTATAAAATTTTTTTAAGCACTATGGTTTTAAAAAATTAATTTAGTTAAGATCAAAGAAACTTTTATATTTGATTATGTCTTTTGTACCAGATAACTGAACATATTTAATATCATTTGAAAAATATAAGTTTTCAAAGACAGGGAAATACCAACATGTTGCAATCATAAAATAAGTATAAAATAGATTGCAATGGAAATAAAGCCTAATGCAGAAAATAAAAGTATTATATTCCCATATAAGTTTTCTATGATTAGTGTCTCATCATGTATCATAAAAGAAATAATTATAAATAATAATAATAGCACATAAATACGGGTTTCCAACGGAAATCCGCCAAATTTAAATATTCAAATGCCATATATTAGACAAGTATTTAAAAGTCAATTTTTAAGAATAAATATTTAATACATAAAATTCATTTTATACTTGCAATTTTCCTTCACTATTTTTTTTATTTTTAACTTGTAAAATATTTCACGTAGTTCTATGTATTTCGTTAAAAACTTTTTAGTGAAACTAATTTATTATTATACTCTCGATTTTTGTCCAAAATACATTTAGTGAAGTATTCTGTTCGTATCTATACTTTATATAACCTATTTTGTTACTTTATACGTATATCTCGTTTTATCAGTAATTCAATTTCGAAGTTATGAATCAAATATTTACATAATGTCTCTGGTTACACTCCACTGATAATATGTCTCATTTCTCCTTTTTCGTAATTTTGCTTTTTTAAATTTTGTTTAACTATTTTTTAACTTTTTTACCATTCAGGATTATTGTCTTGTTATAGACAAAAATATTAACGAAAAATACATAATAGGGTACATAGTGAAAAACTTTGTTTTTGTTTAATAGAACATCTTAGTATTTCATACTAGAGAGTTTAGTTTAAATAGCTGCTTTCCATTTGAATATTTTATATTTTTCAAAACAACTAAGGTGACTATTATAGTTTGGTGTGTTTACACTAGTCTAATAGTGTAAGTCTATTAAAAATTAAAAATACCTCTATAAATCTCAATATTAGCTCCAAAATGCGAGTACCAAATTTTATTGATCATTTTGTGAAGTGTTATATTATTTTTGAATATATAGTAGAGAGTGTATATTTTAGGTCAGTAATGTATGAATTTATAAGAAAAATAATTGTTTCTTCTGCACGCATTATCGCAGTAAAAATGAGGTAATTATATTACAAAAGAAGTAAGTCTTTCATAATTTTTAACAATTTTGTACAGAAATAAAATAACAATATTTATAGCTCGTAAAAATTGTTAAACGATGATAAATGTTTTGAGAAAACAAAATGTTTATTTTTTCAAGTACATTAATAAAAAAATATATATATAAAAATAGATATACCCAGCACTTAATATTTAAAAATATTAATACTTGAAAATATTTAAAAGTACATTGAGCCTTATCATTAACAAGTAATATACTAATTGTTAATATATACATCAGACCTTCATGACGTGTTTAATATACGTGAAACGTAAACGTATACGTAAACTTTCTTACGTAAACGGGAAGAAAGATAAAACAAATTAAATCGAAGTCCAAATCTGCAACTGAAATAATAACAATAGTAAATCGTCGGATGAAATATTCGTATTAGAGCGAGTTCTAGAAACTTGAAACTAAAACAATTTGAACAATGCCTCCTATTCGATTGCCTCAATTGATCTTACTGGATACTCGAGTATTTATCACAGCTCCACGTGTTGAGAATCTCTGCGCAAGGGTCGAATCGAGCTCTGTTACCGGCGACTAACGCAACTGCTTGCTACGAGTGTCAAGGGAGCACGTGCTACCTTTGACCTAATGTGATCGTAATCTTTTGATAATGTTTCCAAAATATTAAACGTATTCTCATGGCAGAAGCAGCTTATTGTTCTATCTATTCACCTTTTCGAACGTGCCCAAGTATAAAAATTGTACGTTCGAATATCAGCAAATTAACTAGTAATAAATCCCTATGCGTTCTGTTCTTAACCTCTTAGTTGCCGTTTATCAATTATCAAATATAACTAGACAATCGAAATAAGCACTTGGAAAAGATAAAATTCAAACAGACAATTTCTCTTTACTTTCTTCTTTTAGAGAACCAATCACTTACGTTCACAGTTTCCTTTAAATAATTATTGATTTCTGCCCGGGTTTAGGTTATGTTAGCCTACGAATGAGTTAGTGAATGAGCAAAGCCAAATAACGAAACTACAACTTTTACATGACTGTAGACACTTTCTTCATACATTTTTAATGTACGTACAAACTATTCGGTATTACGTACACACTACTATTATTGAAACAGCATAAGCAAATATGTCCGTTAGATATGCGCACAGTTAATATATTTTCACAAGTACTAAGCGTGCATTGACTCCTCATTGAGTCATTGTTTTAGTATAGTCGATGTCCTCTTATAAAGACTAAGATGTACTTCACAGGTGAAATATAATCGCCGTGAAGTTCGATAAGGATTGAAAGATAGGTGTCATATAACAACAACGATTGCAGAATGAGATATAAAAATAGATGATCGGTCATCGACGTCTGGTGGACGATCATCTCCTTTCTAGACGGTCGGACAATATGTTGATAAATTTCGAAATTTTTCCATAGTATTGCTAAGTATAAAACATCGTAAGTTGTTTCTGAAGCATTTAATCGTTATAATTAATATCTATTAATTATTATAAATTACAATATTACGTAATTAACATAATATGATAACATATAACAATAAAATCAATAGCAGTTGTTATATTAAAAAAGTATCAATTCAATGAGATTAATGGATGAAAGCACACATATCTCATCAAGCTTGTACAGTGAAAGAAAACAGATTCGAAATGCTGAATTTCAACTTGGCTAAGAGTCACGAAATATGCAGCATGTCTCCTCTTCTAGTAACTTATAGTAACTTAAGATTTTGTACTATTGTTTCGTAAATTATGTAAGTGTATATAAAAGAAACTTGTTTATTTTATCTACTATACTGATTTTCAACGGATTAAAGAATAAAGGAAATATTACTATTAATGCTGTAAGGACAATGACTTCTAGTGATTTTAATTTAGTTACCAGATGTTACTAGTGTCAGTAATTTAAGTGTTCTTGGAAATATTCGAGATGCGGGAAGAGATTAGGAAAAGTTAAATAGAACAAAAGCAAGGAATTACGTTTGTACTTTTCTTTTTCATATTCATGAAAACTGAGCTATCATCGGTTTTAAGATCGATGCACGTGAAAATGGCATTTGAAGAAACGCACATAAGGGCATGCTTGTTAAATTACAAATGAGAT